TTAAACATGAAGGAGTAACAAACAAATATAGAAACCTTCGCATGTAAACCAGCGGGATGGTTAAAAAGTCACTGTGGTATTTCAAGAAGCAAGATCTTCAAAGGATAGTGCACAGATGGCAGTAATTGTCATAATAGAGCTTACTGAATATTCAGACAGCAAACAATGCAATCACTGCGGCGGTACCGCATTTACCATCTGTTGACGACTATTTTCTTCTAGCCTCAATTAGTTCTTAGTCTTGTTTATTGTATGAAATGAAGTTTTAATGTTTAGAGTGCGATAATTCGCGAGATGATCACCGGCCAGCTTAAGCACGGGCCATCTACCCTTGCTCTCCGTCCGATCAGAACCAGACCCAAACTACGGCGCGTCGCGTTCCGCGTGCGCCTCAAAGAGCCATCAGACCACCACAGATGGGGCCCAATAGGGCGGATGCGGATACAGAGCTGTGAAGACTTAACGGGTTGCCGGGGCTCTGACTCGAAACGCAGGAGTAAGAACAGGGTAGTTTTAGTCAGTAAGAGTCTGACACCCCCTCTCGCCTCGCCCGGGCGGGAGAAAAGTCGTCACACGTCGGCTCAACGAATATAAAAAAAGTGATTGGATAATAATCTCCCACAAAAAAGGTGAGAAGAGCCGACTATCTAAGGGACTACATACATTTGACAGAGACCATACAACGGAGCTCTCTGAAGCTTTCATACTGTTATAAAGGTAAGTGGTCACACCTCAATTTACCCAATCGGAGGTAAAGGCGTAATGTTTTGTTTGTAATACAAATCTTCAAACATAGCACAAATTGGTTTTGTAGTAGTAGACTAGTTCCCCGTACATTGTTCTACTTACCTTACCTACCTAGCCTAAAGTAGTTCCACAAAATTGATGATTACTAAATTGGTGACCGTTTTATTCAAACAATAGCGTCCTTTGTTTACGAATGCCGATCGGTAATGGTTGTTTATTGATTTCTAGATAATAATGTTTCCATGACCGAGTTCTGATCGTGGTCAATCTGAAGGAAAACTCTATAATCGTGACATTGTGTATGCAAACACCGTGCACTTATGCCGAAGGGTAGGTTTATAATGGGCCGGTAGAAGAAACAATGTTTGAAAGAATGGATTAGTTGTCTAATCGGTTTAAACTGTCAAACACCAAGCGGTCACCGGTGACCGCAACCTATTGTTCTATAATTGTGTCTGCAAAACCGGTACTCGACGAGTTAAACATCTGTTGCCTATAAAATATTATATTTTAGGGACTCAACTATGTAATCAAAATGGTTTTAAGCTTGACCGCCGAGAGACAGATCGCGGATCAGGCAAAGTATTATTAATTTCAGTGACACTAACGTTAACTATGTCGGTAATTTATATTTTCAGTGATTTAAGCATCTTTATCCTTTCATGTGTCTAAACGTGGATCCAGACACAATGTATTTAGTATTGTGTCTCAGGTCGGTGCCTTCAAGCGGTTAATGTTTTATACAAATCGCAATAAATGTAAATGGTGGGTTTTTAATACCAGATAAAACAGAGCATTATTGGGTCTAATTGGGCTATTCGAAAAATTATAGTAGGTAGGTAAGACTATATAGAAATATGCAGCTGCAGATCTGTCTCGATGTCTTCGGAGATTCATAGATGAACTTACTTACCAGGTGAATTGAATGTTGTTTATTTTTCTGTACCGTTAAAGATTACAGGTACTCAACTTGTGTAGGCCTTGCATTTCAGTCCATTTATCACGATAACTTCGTTGTGGTCTTGAATATACGATGTAGCCTTGCCTCAGTAGTCGGTAGTTAGTAGCATCCTATTAGCAACCGCACCAGTAGTTACTGACTGGTTACCTAGGTACTATTTGACCTTTACGGCCTGTGTCTGAAAGGCTCTTGCTTTGTAAGCACTTACTACTTAATGTAGTACCAATCAAGTCGATTAGGTAATTGGAACATTCATATCAATTAAGCCATTGATTGTAAAGTAATTCAGTTAGTTTAAGGTACCTGTGCGGTCATTATTTTACATAAACATAAGGTACTAGGTACTTTTATATATGTATATCTGCTAACTGTCTGTTCGTAATTCTCAAACGTTCACGTAGATGTAGGTAATATCTATGCTCTATCCTTCACTCGTTCTTGGCTTGGTCCTTCTTGATACGCCTTGATCCTTCTTGATCTATGACTATGATTTAATTAGCCCAGAAATGAACGGAGCGAGAGATTTTGCTTAATGTGGAAAATAGAATAACTTACGTCACTGACCGACTGAAGTCTGCTCACCCCTATTGCCGTCAACGCTATAATATTGGTTAAAACTACGCGAGTGAATTTCTTAAAATGTTTTTACAATGTTATTGGTAGGTAAGTGATGTACTGTACCGTACGGAGTCATAAACATTACGTGGGACCTACAAAAGTACCTACATATTATTATATACAAAAATAAATCTAATAGAACCATGCACTCTTTCATCTATCTTCAATTCTACACAAGTTGCGTATCATACAATCTGAATGTTTCAGGTTATTACTACTAACGCCACCTAGCGTAGACGAACGGATAATTGGAAATGTAGTACTTTACTCTTCTAACTTGAAATCTAAGTTTCTTGTTAGTCGTGTAACCTTATGCTGCAAGGTGTCGCTACCAACAAGAAATCGTTACGATAGTAATATACCATTAGGGTCAAACATCGAAGTAATAGAAAAAATGTTGCACCCCGTACTGTATCTTCACGACGTTTTAACTGCCTACTATAAATGTCGCTTCAAGCAAAGATATACGGATATATGAATAAAATTCACTACCTCCTCATCATCGTTAGATAATAAGTACTTACTTATCATTTATTAACTCATAATGGACTTCAAATTAAATGGACCATCAGTTCACCAACAAGAAAGGCATGAGGCATCTACATATTTATATAGGTAGGTATGTATTACACTTGGACAGATACCATTACCTACCTATAATACTTAACTTACATAATTCATAAAACATAAGCCCATCTAAACGATTCAATAGTTAACATTCGACCAAGCAAAGGCTCAACACTAACCAAAAGCAACACTAGGGGAACAATTTGTGGATTTTTTCTACCGAATCGTAATTTGCGTGTCCACTAATAAATTTAGGTAGTACACCACCCGAAATGTAGAACAATGCTCGGCTTGGGATCGTTGTGATCACAAACATGAAGCGAACGGGGCCAAGGGAGCGCTTATTTGTTTTTGTACCGATACGATCTGAATAATTCGGACGTTTTAATTAAAACGGCTGTGATCTAGCGCTGGCTAACATGGCTTCTTTTGGTTCTGTTCTCATTATACGATTGTTATCTCTTGGGGAAAAATGGTTCGACGTGCTGTAGGTAAGTACCTATACTAATAGTTGATTTATACGCAAACGAACGCAAAACCATAAATTTGCTGACGGTAACGTCTTTCTTTCTAGGTAAGCCTGCTTAGCTGAATATTTACAGCCTTGCTGCAGAATTGCTCCGTTGTAAAAATCCTAATTAAATAATGATAATTAGTAATTGTTTATTACACGTACCTTGACTGTTTTAGAAGCTAGAATGCACCGCTCAGCGCCCGTGCAACTATCCGCATCACTTGAAACTAATTACTGGCGTTACGGACCAATTACTAACGAATTGATATCGCTGCCTCGTAAACGTAACTTCCATTCAAATATTAGTGCTGGACTAACTGCTGAATAACTCATTGATTAGTCCATATAACTTAGGTAGGTAGGTACATACACTAACAACTCATAAGTGGGCCAGTTTTGTTTACTTACGGACTAGACTAGTTTTTGAGTAGTAAATGTCAGAATTATAAATACTAAGTTCAGGAGTAATTCAGTAGTTCGGTAATACTCGTATTAGAACACATTATAGACCTAGGTACTCGAGTATCATCTCGAATATCACATGGATATGTAGATGCAGTTGTCGAAGAATTAAGTCTGTTGTACAACTAATGGAATTTGCTCGCGGTCTCCAACTACGGTTAGATTAACATGATTAAATTATGCTCTTTGCGATAAAAACCTCTGATCTCCGCCTCACGAAGTTCGATATGTAGGTTTACCAATGTTTCAGTAACTGACCATCTTGAACTTCTTGCTGTAAATTAAGTTGCATCATTAACAAGTTGCATTACTAATTCACATTCCTACTATTAGGTCTACTGTCAAACACTACTTGAAGAAACTATGTTACCGACGATAGTAATACCGGTTACAATGCTTGATTTGCATGATTCGTTCAGTGAGTGGGCATTGAGTTCGATTCAACCACTTAGTATCAAGTTCGATTCCTATTTCGGGCAATGTTGATGAAATTTATTATATCTCAATCAGAACACGAAGTCTACAACCCTCTATAAAGATCCGAACACCACAAATTAAGTATGCTTCGTTGACTTTGTTTAAAATCCTGTTGCTAAAAATTGCCTATAGGATTACTTTTGGAAATGCGAGTGGCATGACGCATCAATACTTTTCAACTCTGCTGACCCAGCATCCCCTATACTTATTATACTCTTTGCCCAGCATATATGAACTGACCCCAAGGGTCCGATTGTCATGAGAACTGGGATTCAGCTTAACGTGATCGAGACGAGGTTAAATAGCTTTCATGCTGGTAATAATTTTAAACTTTTCGCCTATCGCGGAAATGATTCCATGGCAAGTAGTGAAAATCTACAACAGCGCTGTAAAATGCCAGTCAGCCACAACTTCCCTAACAGTGTTTTAAAAAGTATATTATTATCATTCCCTTTATATGGGTTCAAGAAATAAAAGTAAGCCACATTTCACGTACACATTTATTTGCATCTACATTGTGTAAAGGAAGCAAATAATTTATAATCTAAAACAAATCCTTAAAATAATTAACCATTAAGTAATAAAGTATAATTAAATTGTAACCTAAATTGAAAATAATGTGAGCCATTTAATATTTTGTACATAAAGGTAAGAAAGCACAAAGTAATTATACATAATAATATAAAACAATATTAACAAACATTTCATCGTAAAATACAAATACAAGCAACCACGTGCTTTAATTATAACGCTCTTTTGGTATCAAGTAACAGAATTAAATAACATTACGATTTCTAATAAATGTGATTGAACCATACTTTGGTTTTTGAGGGAAAATTACCTAAAACAAGTACCTGAATATAATACGTACTCTGATAAGAACGGGGATTTCATTCGACATAATATTGCATTTATTATATCAAGACAAATAATGTGTCATTGAATTCAGAGAATCATAAAACAAACATTCGATAACATCAAGAATTCCCTTTAAAGCATCATACATCATTTTGTACAACTCTGTCATACATTTTTTTCCACATTGAATTCAGGCTATTTTCGAAATCAATCCTATACGAAAAGTCAATATTCTCACTGGTTCTTCACCAACTGTCAATACAAAATAATCAGAACATTAAAAAGCAATACGTATCACTGTGCAAGCATCTAACAACATCAAGATAGATTTTAAAATTTTGTCTACGACATCAATAAATATTATTATATTCTATTTGATATATTTTCATTGTTTTGAGTAATGTATGATGTGATTTATCATAAAAACTATAATACAATACATAAATATATATTCTGTACTAATAAATATGTATATACACTCAGGCTATCTAATCATTCTTCTGTCCCAATAGGCCTAAGACACCATGTGAAAGTGTAAACTTGATGATAAATATATGAGGAATGCTGATTAATCAATGGCTGTCAATTTCCTCAGAGTTACTCAATTTAAATAACTTTAGGATAAAGAATTGAAAATAGAGGTATGTAAGGGACGGTTAATATGCAAGACAAGTCAGTCAAAAGAACTGTCTCCTTTTCTAAAAGTTTACAGGAAGAGAACCCATCATACGCATTACTTGGACCCCTGCGTTTCTATGAAAAATATATTTTTATGCCTATCTATTCCTCAATAGAGACCAAACTGTCGCAACAATCGTTAACGTCTGACAGTAGATGGTAAACATTATAATTTTAATATACATTCCAAAAGCTACAATATATAGACAATTATGTTCCGAACAATTTGGGAGGTGTAAGGGTATAAACAAACTTTTATATAGACAAATATAAATATATAAAGGGTTAAGTAGTCACTTTTATAAAGGATTTAACAGTCAACAAGTATATAATTTACAATACTATATATATATTTATGATATACAATAATCCATACCCTTTCCTACGTAGGCCACTCAAACAGTCCATCATGATACTAATACTTACGATTTTCCACGACAAGGGGATACGAAGGTAATATAATGTTTTTTTATATAAATATGTACCCTTTGGGAACCATTCTACATTACGTACATAGCTACAGACTTCATACATTTTTTTAAATAATAAGTACTGTGGTGTACCGCAATTTATGCCACCTCGTCAATGGAAAACTTTCTGTCTGTTAGTTCTGGGGGTTGAGATACATGGTTTGTTACATTTACACATGTTGACAAATACAATAATTTTTACTACTAATAACATTTAGAGTGAATGAGATCAACCCCATAACCAATAGACAACGTCAATGTCAGACTCCTAATTCTTTCAGAATAGGTAGTCTGGACAGAATAACATTAAAATACATAAAGGCAACGATCTACCACAACATCGAACACATATTATGATATAAATTACGCTTATTTAGATTGACAAAGACATTCCATGCGACACAAATGTACATAAGCTCAAACGAACGCAATCCCTGCGAAATCTTAATTCCAAGTGATCTTTCACAGATACGTTAAATACCTACTAGAGAATAGCTTCATAATTTAGATTCACTTCCAATCCTTATATTTGTCATGGCAAATAGAGATTAAATGCTGTAATAATATAGAGATAAAACAGTTCATAGAACTGGGTCAATAATACGTCAAAATATGCAACGCTATCCTGCAAGAGGTATAATCATGGTCGCAACATTCATTAAAGTGTTATATTCATACATATAGACAGCGTCACGTCAAATATAGAGCCGATAAATTTAACACCTATTTTAATACTGTTACATCTTCATATTTGTCTTCTTGTGCGTTCGAAGATATTTATCTCATTATTCAGTAAAATCACTTACCTTAAAGTTGATATTTAATATACACATTATTACACATATTATATTATAATCCAATATTGTTATTATAGAATATTATTTTAAGTAAGTCATCAGCAACATTAATACTTGCTTGAATGAAGAGGCCTAAAGGCTTCGATATTGTGAATCGAAAGTCCCAAAATGAAATAAGTTACTACTGTAATAAGTTTTTATACTAAACCCTAACACATCAAAGATCAGATGATATTTTACCTACAATAATGTTCCGATGAATGATTACGTCATCTTACGAAATGGGTCATGACACTAGCAACTATCAATACTCAGATATTTATTTTCTATGTAGACAGACTACATTGACAATTAAAAGTCCTATGTTGACATGAAATCTAAGCAATTTACTTAATTAGAAATAGCACGGTATTTCGTGCATTGTCTGTCAGTTGCAAATCCGTGCAAGAAAGAGACGTATGACTAGTTGTTCCCCATACGTAAATAAGGTACAAAGTCCTTTAAAACGCACGAGAGCAATATTTAGGAGCTTCCTTTTTATTTATTTTGTTATCTCTTGAATAATAGAGCACAAATTTGTACGTCAGTACATTTTTACTGACGATTACTCGTTTCTTAAACCCTAAATACAACATTTTATATAACATGTAATGAATGCTCAACATTAATTTACTAATTATACATTGGTAACATCAAATATACTGTCTTATCCGCTAAGGTAAAAGCCGTTGCGTATAAAGCGAAAATTATCGTATTTTAACGCTATTAAGTACATAAACAATACTTATTGAAATAAACTGCGTGTAATAAATATTAAGATGTATATAAAACGAATCCGCTTGACGTCCTAATTTAATTATAAGTATTGAAATGTATTAAAAAATTAAGCTTTCAAAATCTACATACTTGAAATGCCAGCGATGATGTGCTTTACAGACAGATTTACAAGAATACTGTTCTTATTGCTATATATAATATGTTTTATAATACTATGACCGTGGCCGTCGCTGACAGCAATGTATGAATGCTGTCCACAGCGCACATTAACAAACCTACACAATCGTTTACCTTTTAAAGCTTTTTAAAGTCGGTTAAAGCTTCTTAAAAGTCTTTTTCTTCAAATTTCATAAATGCGACTTACTTTACCAGACACTGAACACGTCACTGATTGAAAAAAAAACTGAGCCGTTTTTCACTGTAGTTCTTTTGTTATAAAATATTTATTTTCTCCAACACAAGCATTGTTGCCAGATTGACTTCGATGCTTTTGGAGGAGAAGGTGGATGCTAGTATTGGAAGCTCCTCGATGCCTCGGCGTCCTGGCGGGTGATGTTGAATGCTTCAGTCTTCAAAAAGTCCACAGTCTTATACGCTTCCCTGTCGACGGATGACATGGACAATTGTCCATGTGCTATCTCGGTCTTCTTGCGCAGGTCCGTTTTCTCCTAAAATTTATAGATATTATCAATAAAAAAACAACAAAAAATGAGTTTCATACTTAACTTGAAGTAGTTAATTGTAACAATTAACTAACGCAGACGCTTCAAATAATAAGCTGAAAACGAATATAGAGTAAAAAAGTCTATACACTGTGACTTGTAACTCGACGTGTTCCTCTCGGGAAGTGACAGTATAACTAACACGTTTTTAAAACAACCGGCGTTAGGTCTGGATACCGTGCACCCGTGGAATTCGTCCCCCTGCCAATCCAATGTTTTGGGAACAAGGTATCCGTCCACTGCCGCGCAGTAATTCGATAGTGCGCTGGACAACCAACCCAAAATCAAAATTGTTAAATACCTCGATAACCAGCCACTTATCCACTAGAGACCTCAGGGCTAATTTTGTGGCAAATTAGTTGCATCATCACCTCGCGAGTATATAGACAGTTGGTCAAATTCAATACTTTTATTGAAATTTCAAAGACCATACTTTTCTATGAATTTTGTATTGAATCGCAACTTATGACGTCATCATATTTCTGCGTCAAATAGCATACTTATTTCCTTAAAATTAGCGAGAAAAATCCAAAAGTAGATAAATTCAAAACAGTAGATCAGAGTATGATAATTTTTTAATTATTTCTTGCATTGGAAAGTTGAAACTGAGGAAAGTGTTAAAATAAGGTTTTTGTTAACATCTATATATTGGGTACCCATGTTTGCAAATGGATTTTAAACCAAGAAAAAACAAGGTTACTTTTACCCTCAAGGTGCACAATATTAAAATGTTATCAATAAATTACCTTCGTTTGTGCCGGTTTCGCAGGGTGGAGGTCTAAGTCTAAATACTGCAAGGCGTCTTGCTTGATGTCATCTACATTACCGATTCTCAACGTACCCTGTAATATGTAAATTACTCAATAGAAACACACACAAACACTTATACAACAACAAATACAGTAAAAATTGCCCCTAAATAGGGGCTTACCAACATACAGCAACAATACACCATAAGCAAAAGAACGAAAATTACAACAAACGAAATAATTATAAAAGTTACACAACACTGCATCGAAATCTAGCTAAAGTAACGTCGGGATATAAATGCATAAATTACACATAATAAACTACTTAAAATAATATATTATCGCAAAAAAAATAATATAAATAAATATGAATAAATGCACCTACAAGGAATAATATACCCTGACAAAACAAAGCTTTAGTTGGTTATAGTCCTGGTTCATCATTTATTAACAGACAACAGCTAGAAAAAATGCAGTTAAATAATGAAAAACGTACTACATGGTTCTACTATGCAATTTCATGCAGATTGGAACATTATTAGTTTATACGACGTGTAAAAACGTGTTTAAACAAAATATATAATGTTTCTGTATTCCAGGAACTGTTGTCTGTTTAACGAGAAGAGATAACTGTACGGATGGCGAGGACTACGTGCTCTGTGGATGATCATATTCTCATTTTATCATCCTGGGATTTAGCAATTCCAATTTTACACTTTGTATCATCAAATTAACTATTTCGCACAGTAAGATATCGAATTTTTTATATATAATTTATTTTACTGTAATAATAAGCACTATGTTACTGTGAAATCATGAGAGGTAAATTATTTACCGTTTCCTGGGGCATTACCACAATGTTTGGGAGTAAATTCGGTGGTATTGTTATTATCCCCACCTTACGGGACGGGATTTTTATTTCTAGCAAATTGTCTGATGGTATCTCTAGCGTGTCCACTCTACTTGACGGTATGCCTAATATGATTCCGCGTTTTATTGGCCGTCTCTTGTCTTCTAATGTCTTTGCCCTGGATGGTGGCATACCACAGGCTAATCTGGCATTCTCCGCTCTAGCCAGTTGTTTCCTTAGACGACTCAGTTTTGAAGCTTTTGACCGAAAGCTACAAAATTGGATAACAGCCACAAAAATCTTTCTTAGAGCACTTAGAAACCCAGTGCGACGAATAGAGGGCCTGTACGGTTTAACAGTTTCGTAACGATGTACTTCGTTATGAAGTCCATCTTCCTAAAATGGAAATAAACACAACACAGTTATTATCTATTCTTTTGGTGAAGACTTCATAATACATTATAGATATATTACAAATGATAAGTATATATGAATATAAATATATATATATATATATAAAATAAATATGCAATAATATTATTAGGTATAGACTACATACAGCGTGAGCTTGTGGTTAACAATTGATATAATTATGTTTCGTAACATATATTTATAAAGCCTGCAGAGTTAAATAATTCTATTGTATTGCAATATCTAATGCTAAACAGATGTTATCTACGAAACAAATGTTTGTCTGATATGTAATACTTTTCAAATAGTGCATACTGCTAGCTGCAGAGGTTATGATCTTGAACCATTATAAGCAACTATTTCAAAGAGATTTTCAAGAGAGATATGTTTGCTGTTGACTCTATTCATCCAAGAATAAATCGCAACAATGCACTGCATTGTTGCACTGGGTATTATTGTATTATTGTAATACAAGATCACACTGGATCTATTGAGTAAAATTTAAATAAGTATACAAACTTGTATGAGTTGATCTAGATACATCTGATATTATAATATACACCGTATTCAGCAGTAATAATATATGTAGTACATAATATTATATCTATTGTAGTGAACATACCTGTGCCACGAAGGCGTTGCTGTGTCCTATGCTATGGGTGGAGTGACGCGGTTTCAGCGCTCTGTCTACTGCCGGCGGCAGCGTGGGCAGATTACAGTACTGTAAAGACTGTAGAAAATATATATTGATTACTAGCTGTTTCCCGCAAATTCTTCTGCATCAATACATAGTATAAAACAAAGTCGCTTTCGCTGTATGTCCGTATGTATGCTTAGATCTTTAAAACTACGCAACGGATTTTGATGCGGTTTTTTTAAATAGATAGAGTGATTCTTAAGGAAGGTTTGTATGTATAATACATGCATATTGCACCCGTGCGAAGCCGGGGCGGGTCGCTAGTATAAAATAAAAAAATCCTAGCTCTTTTAAATTTAAAGTCCGCGAGCATTTGTTTAAGCATTGACAGACCCAAAACAACTGAGGAAACTATTTTGACAAAGTTTTCTATAATGTATTGTAATATTTATGTCGTAGGTATTTTTTTTAAGGGGGGAAAATTATCGAATTACTGCTCCCGCCTGGGTGAGGCGGGAGGGAGTGTCAGACTCTTACTGACTAAAAACCACCCCGATCCTTCTCCTGCACGTCGAGCCGGAGCCCCGGTTACCCGTTAGGTTCTCCGCGACATGTAGTAGGTATAAGTATTAGTTAAGCAGTATATATTATATAGCATGTATGTCTATTTCGATTTATAAAATATTGTATTATTATATTTATTGTATAGGTTTTTTATGTGTGCAGTATACATATATTTAATAACAATTATTTCTTTTTTTTATTGTGTTCTGGCTTCGCATCAACCGCTTCATTTCTTTGCACTTCCCTATGACTATGGTTGACTGTCAGAGAATGCTTTAAGGCATTAAGTCCGCCATTCACTGTAATCTTTGGTGAAGAAAAATATATGAATTTTTGGGCATAACTTTCTTTTGTTTCAAGTTTATAAAATAAAAGTAGCCTTTGTTACTCCTTAGTACATCAGCTACCTGCCAATAAAAGATCCGTCAAAATCAGTCGATTCATTCCAGAGATTAGCCAGTATAAACAGACAGACGGACAAAAAATATAATAAATGTTATTTTGGTATGTGTATCGTATGAATATTCATACATATATATGCATGTAGTAAAAGGCGGTTATTTTTATACTACGAACCGACACTCCAATTTTATTTTTCTGTTTAGATAACTACACTATGTTATATTAAATAATGCATCAGTGAGATATTAAAACTCATTTAAATAGTAATGATGGAGTTTCTTGGAACAATCTCATTTTATAGATGAAGTGTCTTTTTTAAGGGGGGTAATCATCGAATGACTGCTCCCGCCTGGGCCAGGCGGTAGGGAGTGTCAGACTCTTACTGACTAAAAACCACCCCGTTCCTTCTTCTGCACATCGAGCCGGAGCCCCGGTTACCCATTAGGTTCTCCGGGACTTATAGATGAAATGTAGTGTGATGTTTGAAAATTTTCATTGCATGAGTGCACTTACAGACTGTGCTGGCGCAAAGTCTTCCTCTTCTTCTGGACAGCGAGCGTTTAGCAATGAACGCGGAGAAGATGGGGCGCCCTGTGACATGCGACGGGGTACTCTAAGCCGCTGGTGGCTGTGCTGCAGCTGTAATATACAATTATAAAAACATTAATAATATGTATCAGTAGCTAAATGGTATAGGTAATGTACTTAAATACAATAGAATACTTAGGACCTGCTTCACAATATCAGTGCTTTTACCCTTTAGCGCTTGTCTACAGAAAGAGTAGAAAACTAAATGTATGGGGAAGACACTGACAAGTGTCAAAATTTACGTCATTCCCATATAATTTGGTTTTCTATTCTACACGTAGACAAGCGCTAAATGGCATTTGGCTACAGCTGTAGTTTACAACTAATCAAATTCAATACTTTTATCGAAACGTCAAAAACGATATTGTTCTATGAATTTTGTACCAAAAACTAACTTATGACGTCACCATATTTTCGAGTCAAATAGCACACTTATTTCTGAAAAAAATGTTATAATAAATCGTAAATATAAGTATATCGTCAAATATATGAATGAAATTGTAATTATTTTTGAATATTTCATTGGATAGAAAAATCAAAATAATTTATTTTTGACCCAGGAAAATACCCAATTGTATTAAGAACGTAAGTTGTATGAACTATCTGTTATATTAAACCGGCGCTTAGTAATATTATATCTATAATACGGAAATAGTTACCCACGTCACTACTGCATTCGATGATCGATGAATTTGATTAAAAGTATTTTATCACTAATTGATTTCATGGAAGTTTCTAGAAGACATTAGTAGTATGTAAACGGACATTTATCAGTTTGACACCATGTAATGAATAAAAATATACATCTACCCATCTCTACTTTTGCCTCTATAAACGGTGACCTTTGTTTAGTGCAATCAATATAATAACTTTACTAATTCAATTACAATCTTGTATAGAAACCTATATGTAAATTTTTATATTTTCTTGATCTTGTTCTGAATACTGAAACGGAATGTATTGGCTTTTAAACAGACACCTTGATTCGATCGACAACTACCGCATGACCCTTACTTCTGCCTTCATGAATATAAACATTAAAAATCAAAATTTTGCACGAAGTCGACAATTATAATTTTAAATGAATAACAACAGGAGACTTTGACGTCATAGAATTGATTAAAAACATAACGAACTTTTAGGGCACCAAACGGTTATTCTTGTAAAGTGATATGCAAACTATTTACATCTTAGAGGTCACTCTTTCCAAAGAGACGCAGTTCCATAACATTGTGTTATTCAAGTCCCTGCCTCATCCTGTTTACTGCAATCTGTCCTTTTTTACGTTTTAACTGAATATAAATCAAAGAACTTACAGGTTCCAGCACTACCTCGGTGGGTTCCTGGATTTTAGGACCCTGGAAAGGATCCTTGGTTAGAGTATCCCTGCTTCTGCCAGCAAAGGTCTTCGGTGGTCGTGGTGGGACGGGTGGTCCTGAAATATTTAATAGCATGAGTGTTGATGGCTCGTTGATGCAGAGATCCTTTAGTCAAGTTATTATATTTTAATCTGAAGTTCTCAGCACGCAGTCTAAACTAATATTGAAAGGTACGTTTAAAATATTTACCACACTTTACTATTATTATAACAAAACTAAACAACTAAAATAAATATAAATAAATACTGAAAAAGTAAGGAAGACTAAGGACCGAAAGTAAGTTAGTATACCTTTTTAAAATTATCTTGAAGGAACCATAGAATATAATTTATAATAATGATAATAATACAATAAGAATATTGCTATCATTATGAAACTTAACTCACCTTCTTCAGGACCATTCTTTTTCGGTGATATGGACAATTTTGTGAAAGTTTTTGTCACTGACCAGTCTGCTAAAAGAAAAATCATATGACATTATAGAGCCCTTACTTGACTTAGCGTCAAAACTATTTCATTTCATCTAGGTCTTTTCCCAACAATATTGACATTCATAATCATAGTGTTAACCAGTTTATTATTATGACCTTCTTATTTAAACCGCTTAAGTGGTAACGACTGTATCGTATTTTATGTTCATTGTCTCATAAATAACTCTTACAAACAAATGCTATAAATACCAGTTACGCTTGAAAGTAAAGGCTCGAATAATGCATTAAAAGCAAAGGTTACTACTGGACTAAATTATATAAAACAATAAAGAGATAATAAACAATTTAGAATTTAAGAACAAACATATGAACAGCGCGGATTCAAAATACCAAAAAAAAATAGAACATTAAGGTAAAATGAGCAACTATAACATATTACATTAAGATGGCTAGGATAATAAAAAACAACTTACGTAAATTCTGATGGCTCGCATGCAAAGAGCCATCATCGTCTTCGCTCAAATTGCTATCATTCTCAGACAGTTCCGAATTCACCCTTATTTGAGGATGGCTGGTGTACTGGTGGCCTCGGGTATTTATTATGTTCCGCTCCTCAAATGTAAAGTGTCTTTGCTCATCCTGTAACATCACAATACAAATTTACCAAAGACTGGTAACCGACCATCCACTAGCCACGTAAAGCTCAATAAGGGGGAAGGGGTTCGACAAAAACCCGAAACAACACGAGAGGGGACGGTATAGTAAAATATCACGTGTATTTATATTTTTTAGTCAAACGCATGATTTTAAACATTAGTACGGCGTGTAGTTGATTTATTTAATTTAAATTTTTTAACCTGTGCATCATTTATGGTTATTTCAGGTACCTACGTACTTGTTTTGTGAAAGATATTATACAAAATTTTTGAAGATACGTAAACGTAAGAACTCGTGGTGTTGGGACGATATAACCAGAGGGGAGGGGTTCTCTAATCCCCTCCCCCCCCCCGCCCGGTTAGTCGAACTGACTAACTTACTTAAGTGTTACAGGTACCACCAATGGGGGCAAAAAAATCTATAAAATCTCGACGGAACGGATGTAGGTAGGTACCTTTAGGTAGGTTCATGTGAAAATATAATAAAATTGTAATCGACTGTGACTAAAAATATTTAAAAGTATAATTCTTCAAATGTATTTGTGTCTGAAAATTGACCGAAGAAGTCTCTAGATAGAATACTTAACTCACGATAAGTACGAATATTAAACACATAATATATTAGAAGCAACAGTTCCGAAATCAACCCGTAAAGTTTAAAATAGTTGAGATGCACCTGACGAACACTGTCTACCTATTTCTATTAATAGCTGTAGCCAGTCCAACCTCTGACATTTATGCTAAAGTCACATTATGAAAACATCCACCCCCGTTCCCCTCTCGGTGTTACATTTACTGACAAACGATATGGCCAACTATTAATACAGTTCCATGTAAAAACCCTCGACAATTATTTTGGTTCGGTAATTAGAATTGTTTATTTGATTTTTACCTTCAAATACATATCAATACCATACCCGAGGCAAAACCGATAAAACAAGATCATGTATCAATATACAATCTTAATAACGTTCTAATTAGTTACCAAGGTGACCATATACCTGTTTACGACTCATATCTTACATTGTAATATTAATTACAAAATGATTAACTACCTACGCCGTTGATATCAAGATGGATAATGTTCTAACAAACAAAATTCTAAAAGTAGATAACAAGGATGAATTTTATTCTTCCGATAGCACTAGAAATACTAAAGATGTCTATCCCGTACAAAACACTTGAAATAATCACGTACTTAGATAAAATACAACAATATAGTTTTCTTGCACTCATTTGCAATAGTTTGAACCCTGAAGCACATCACTCGGACTGCAATAAGCTACTCAACTTACTCATTTGTTAGGTTCAACGAACATAAGATAGTACTCATGAGCACATTTAAATGGCACATCATTAGGAACTAACGAGAAGTCCTATCTTTCGTTCTAAGAGCGATTTGTTAGTAATACCAACTTCAAATTAATTTCAACCTAGATTTGAAATTACTCAAGCACCTGTCGAGTAAGCATATTTGATTGGTTTTCTAAAACTCCTGATCCACCTAGTTTGCCAATGTACACGTTAACGTCAAAATACCTTCTTTAGAAAGTGTCCTCCAGACTGACTTAACGTTGAAGTTAGAAATCAAGTAATCTATAGTCCACTCTAAACATAGGCCACACGAATAGTTTCCAAAACGTATGGTTAAAAGCTCCTGAGATGATGTCTGTATGAAGTATAAGTAGTATAAGTACATGCACTTACTGCGTAATACAGTGTACAACCAATCACGTTTATAAATCCAATATAGTACCAACAAATCCCCTAAGTGATTAGTTTCAAATGCCGATATAAACGCAACCATTGAAACGCTGCGGTCGTGCATATTAGGGATTTGATCATTATAATTGATTGGGACGTGCAGCTACCATTTTAGAGAATCTGGGGGCACGGCAGTGCCCCGCAAAGTCGAGCGCGAAGCAAACACTGCCGTGCCGTTGAAGGGTACACAAGAATGCAAAACCATGTGCAAGACAACATTGCATCAATCTGTCGCCAGAACCACTGTTTATTCAACTTTTGCCTAGTGGCAATACTCCATCTTCAATGCGTAGCGATACAACGGCCACACAACATTAACTACAATAATAATAAAGAACCTCAGACCTAGCACGACTTGGTCTAGATTTCATTACTTTTTAGAGATGAACGAGCGGCTCCATCGAGACTCGGACTATTTTTTTACAGAATGTTTTTGATTGGATTATTATTATGATTATGAAATTCTATTGTAATGCTCCTCAAAGATCCATCAGTCCACCAAGCTTGGTGTGAATTCCTAATAGGGCCGATGCCGATACGGAGCCGCGGAGAAGGTAAAAGGTTACCGGGACTCGAAGTAGGAATGGAGTGGTTTTTAGTCAGTAAGAGTCTGACACTCCCTCCCGCTTCACCTAGGCGGGAAGTCATTCGATGATTTTCCTGTAGTGCAAGGAAAAAGTTCTAAAAATATTATCAAAACTGTATTTTACACAAACTAAGGTAGAATATATTTTAAGGAAGCGAGAGTGCTGTGTAACATAATAACAGCATCCATTTTATGTAAAATATCCGAATAAAAAAAGGACATGAAGATGAAGGACACAAAATGACCTTCATCTTCAATGGTTTATTAGTTCGTTAGTCGTTCTATTCGTATTGCATTAGGCTCAAGCCATTGAGGCTGACCGAAGACACGCCTTTTCATTGCATATCTACAAATCCCAATTTTAGCAACATGTGGAATTGACGGTAACTAACAAAATTGAGGTTAAAACAGAAATAATTAACGCAAAGTTAGATTGCGTAGTAAACGGACAAGACAACAGAAGCAGGTACTATGTTAAATTGTGAAACTAGCGAAAAATATGTACTGTAAAATGTATTTAAACATTTTAAACGTGAAAGGAAAGTAGAGTTAAGCTTTAGTTACCGTCCGCCCAGTCCGTCCGAGCACTTACAACTTACGCAAAGTTACAATTAAATGAAAACACCTCAGAACAATGCAAGCTTTATTTTACCGGACACTTGTATTTCTCCTAGGTAAGTACTGAGTTAAATACTAATGAAATACAAACTGTATATTTACTGGGAACTAAAATACACAACAGCGATATTTGTGTTTGGAAAATACGTAGAATTCCCGGGCGAGCTGAGCTCACATTAAAATTAAATTAATATTCGCACTTGCAACTATATTCAATTAACGATAAAATATGACAACTGAACAAAAATAAAAAGCAGAAAGCAATTATTTAATACCTACATAGTAAAACAATACTGATTCCGACAAATTGAAAACGTCATCTTTTGATTGACTTTTCAGAAACGGCACTAAAAAATAAATGTGTATTTTCCTTTGTTCTCTGCTGAAATTTTACCTGTCATTTTATTTTCATCGTTTATTTGTATGAATGCACAGTTCACTATTGAATTGGGTGGAAATCGATAGAGTCACAGAACAGGTGGTGAAAGTTACAATGTTGAATCGAGTGTACCTACTAGTTTTTAATTGCTAAAATTCATCTTCTTCGTAAGTTCGTGTGTACGAGTTACCCTAAAAGATGACTGGCAAACTAGTATAGGACATTTCCTATACATGTTTGCCCGTATTCCCGAAAATACTCTTGTCGTCCTCCGATGATACTAACATTTGACCGTAGGTGTATTCGCTAGTGCGACTGTCGGGCAAGGGGTCTCAGGTTCGATTCCCGGGTCGGACAAAGTATTACTGGGTTTTAAAAAAAATCTCAGTTGTAGCACGGAGTCTGGAATTGGGTCCGGTATATGGCAATAGGCTCACCCCCTATTCCATGGGACTCATAACATAAATAATGAAAAGTGGGTGTTACTTCTGTGTGCACCTCTGCCTACCCCTTCGAGGATAAAAGGCGTGATGTTACGTTATGTTGCGTGTATTCGCAACCATTGCTCCATTTAAACTGTCCAACACCAAGCGGTCACCGGTGACCGCAACCTATTGTTCTATAATTGTGTCTACAAAACCGGTACTCGACGAGTTAAGAAGCCTTATCCAACGGTGTATCACATGTTGCTATTTAAGAGTGGGTGCAGACTCCATACATTTGCTTCGTATTATCCTTTGTTCAATAGATCACTTAAGTAACTATGTATAACATTTTCCCGAATTGAGACTAGCCTCAAAATAACAAATTATAGTCACGAAAAGAGCTTTCCAACGACATACGTCGGATCATTATTGGTCGGTAGGTGCATTCTGACCATCATCCTTTTCCTATAATGACTACCTTAACGGTCAAAAACTACTGTACAACAGCAACAATTCTCCCAAGTTAAAGGCGTAAAGTGAAGTTAAATATTTATATGCACAAACAACAAACATCAATATTAATTAATATAACTGAAGGACGCTTTGACCGATACAACTAGGTATATTTTATTTTGCTGCATTCGTAATCAGGTCAAGGAAAGTACAACGTGAGGCCGGCCTGCACAGATGTAAATAAGATGCCTTGTTAAAGATCAATTATTTTACGCACCGATATATAGACTTGGGAATCCGAGTCACTTTGGACCTTTGGACTTTGGACACTTTTCCAAAGGTTCCTAATTCATAGCATTCAACTTACAATTTAGTGCCCTTTTACCAAGGACTTTGAAAAAAGGGCACATAATATCACTTAAAAATGATTGAAGCACTAAAATGTCAGTAGGTTATCTATGTGTGCGTGTATAATGGTTACCACGTTACCAGATTTAAGAACACGACTAGTGTCCTTCGTGTCAATGTGTGTATGTTCCGCGTGTAGTGTAAGTCTATAGTTAGAACCTTGGCAATGACGTGGTGACATTTGATCGTCGATTTCAGGGACACAATTATTATAAAAAAAACAATTGATATTAGAATACTGGTCCATTAATTATTTTATTTCTTACTAATCTTTAAATACAAGCTAGTTATATAAAACCGCTGTAATTATTATCATTTCACTGATTGGTCCTTATTGCGGTGGTCGATTT